CTAAGGATAAAATCCCTTAATCACGATGGTCGAAGAAGGATTTTGAAGGTTTTAACTCTATTTCTCCTATTGGACCCCACCCTTCTGCCCCCTGGGAGACCACACCCACCGTTTATACAAAATTGGTTCCCCTTTACCCAAGGATGCTTCACACCAAATCTTTTCATTCCTACAGAAGGAGAAGGATTTTAAAGAATAATTTACTATGTATCCCCTATTGGGCCCCAGCGCTCAGGCCCCTTGGGGGTCAGACCAATGGTTTATACAAAATTGGTACCCCTTCACCCAAGGGTGCTTCAGACTAAATATGGAATAAATCCTGTCATTCCTACAGAAGAAGGATTTTTAAGAATTTGCTATATTTCCCATACCGGGCCCCGCCCCTCAGCCCCCAAGGGGGCCAGACCCACCGTTTATACAAAATTGGTTTCCCTTAACCCAAGGATGCACAACACCAAATATGGACCAAATCCTGTCATTCCTACAGAAGTAGAAGGATTTTAAGTAAAGAATAATTTGCTATGTTCCCCTATTGGGCCCCGCCCCTCAGGCCCTTGGGGAGGGGCCAAACCCACGGTTTATACAAAACTGAGTCCTCTTGCCCCAAGAATGCTCCAGACTTAATAAGGATAAAATTCCTTAATCCCTAGGGTAGGAAAAGGATTTTGAAGGTTTTACCTATTTCCCCTATTCGGCCCCACCCATCTGCCCCAAGGGGCGCCATACCCACCATTTATACAAAATTGAGTCCCCTTGGCCCAAGGATGCTCCAGACTAAATTAGGATAAAATCCCTTAATCCCTACAGTAGAAGGATTTTGAAGGTTTTACCACTATTTCCCCTATTGGGCCCCGCCCCTCTGCCCGCAGGAGGGCCACACCCAACATTTATACAAAAGTAAGTCCCCTTGGCCTAAGGATGTTCCAGATCAAATTTAGTCAAAATCTACTTGGCCGTTCAGGACTAGTAGCGTTTTAAAGGAAAAGTTGACGGACGGGCGGACAGACAACGGACGCTGCGGTATGGCATTAGCTCACCATGGTCCTTTGGACCAGGTGAGTTAAAAGGAAAAGGTATATTGGAGTATTTACTTCAATTTCTCAAAGTCTTTTTTGTTACAAAATTGAGTCCCCTTTGCCAAAAGATCCGATGAAACAAATTTCATTAAAATTCCCTAGGTAAGTGAGGAACACGTTGTGATAGTGTACCTCTACTTCCCTTGTGGAACTCTGCCCCTAAGAGAGGCACACCCTTCGTTTATGCAGAACTGCTTCCCATTTTTCCAAATTAGAAGGAGAAGATTTTTGAAGATTTTTTTAAAGGAAAATGTCGACAGATGACAAATGAGGGATGGACAGATGACGCTGCGCCAAGGCATAAACTCAGTTATGTACTGTGTGCATGGAAAATTACAGTAGAATCCCCATTTGTCTTGCTAGCAGTGGGACAGGGCCCCTTAAAATAAGCAATTTACACTGGCTCCACTTAAAGCTAAGTTATTTCCTTTTTATACAAATGAACCTTTGATTACATGCACTCCTTCGCGTGAGGCTATCTCCCCCACTGAGGATTTACACAATCTGAATCTTCTTCAGCTAAAACGGGAGACTATGGATTTGTACAATCTTTGTGTAAAACCTGAGTCTGCATATAACTTAACACATGTAAAAGTGGTACCATGACCACACACTTATTTATCATGGCAAAAAATATCCATCAAATCTAGGGTAATGGGCACAGAATATGTATGCCATACACCAGTCGGTCATACTGTCCTGTAACTCTCACTGGTAGCTGGCTTTCACTTCACAATTTAATTGATTTTATGACACACAATAAGGAGAATCTACAGAATAGTATTTTTATGTAGTAAGTTTATCTAAAATAAGAGTAATTCTTTAATAAATACATCTTAAGTAATTATATCTAGTAATGACATCTATAGTAATTATATCTAAAGTAATTATTTTTATAGTTATTATTTTTATAGTTATTATATTTATAGTAATTATAGTAATTATATTTATAGTAATTATATTTATATGTATAGTAATTATATTTAAAGTAATTATATCTATAGTAATTACATCAATAGTAATTAAATCCACAGTAATCACATTTGTAATAATTAAATCTGGATATTACATCAATAGTAATTGTTATCTATAGTAATTATATAATTTTATCTATAGAAATCTGCATATTTTTCATTTTTTTATTTATATACTTTTATCTATTATTATTAAGTTTATCTATAGTATTAAATAACCTGGCCTTTGCAGAATTTAGACAGACAATCGGTGACAAAAGATGAAAATATACATAAAGCTCACGGACACTTCCCCCNAGGGTGATAGGTCGGGAGGGGGGAGGAGTATTATTTTTTATAACATCAAATTGCCATTCCATAATAATTCCAAAAAAGTTTAAATTACTTCCAATAGAAAATGTGAGTTAATGGAGAACATCTTCCCTCGCCTTTAAAATAAGAGGCACATCGGACCTGTATTGCTCACCTGGTAATCAATGCTGTGACCTTCAAAGTATGGCAAAATCAAATGAATTTAAACAAAGTTGGCATGCAACTTGCAAAATATCATACCCCTATGACTGATGGTTATTCTGAGGAAGTCGTTTATAGATTTTCATACATAAATTTGACCCCTACGAACTTGAAAGTGGACCAATATTATTCATTTGAAAAACAATTGAAAAACCCTCAACCCCAGCTTCATGAAGGCACAATATATTCAACCCTGACCTCATTAAGTCATTTAAAATTTCGAACATGTTTGATGCCTGCGATTCGAGGCTTAATTGACCTTGAAAATTGGTCAAGGTTAAACATCCCACTATTGCTGGTGGTCAAATAATCCAACCGTAAATCTCTTTGTTTTTATGAGCGAGTCATTTAAAAACTATAATACATTTTACCCCAGTGAAAATAAATTTTATTGACTTTGATCAAAATCTGTGAAGAAAATGAAGTTACTTCAGAGATGACGAAACATGTTTACCAAGGGAATACTGTTATTCCTGTTCACAACCTAGTTGTGTTAGGTTAAAATGTAGTGTTTCAAGACTTTCCAGGTTTAGTCATCAAACATTTATTTCAGGGAGTACCAGTATACGCGTGTTGTAAGAACAGGTCTCCTGAAAGACATTTTTATCTGTATTCTGTATAAAGGGTACATCCTCCAACAAGAGTCTCATTTGGCCTTAACAGTCACTTAAGATCAGTAATTTTGTTGTCGTTGAGACGTGAAACAGAAATTAATTCACATCAGCAACAAAAAAAGTTGGAGAAATTCAAATGAGTTTAGGCTTCAAATGATCATCCCTACTAAATTTCTTTTAAATTTGCCTTTCTGAATTACATTTTTTTGTATAAAAAAGCATTTTTTTCAAAATGACAGCTTTGGCAGCCATATTGGATTTTTGATGGGCCTATAAAAGCAAGATGCCCAATTGGCCTGTATTGCTCACCTGCTATTCATCTCACATCCATGACCTTCAAAGACAGCTAAGGTCAAGTTCATTTAAATAGGGGTATAACTATTGATACGTTATACATTGAAGGTTTACACCTACAGAATGTTTATTTGGAGATGCCTACTTATTTCAAAAGTCTGGCCCCTAAAGTTGATCTAGGTCATTCATTCAGATCCCACACTTAATAGCAGCACTTAACAACACTGAGCGACAGGCCAAACATCATGAATATAAATCTCTTGGTTATTCTAAATAGTTTATTATTATGTTAAATAGTTTAACACAATTTTTAACACATTTGACCCTTACAACCTTTAAAGTGTAACAAGAGTCATACTTTGGAACAAATATCTTAGCCCTTCATTCAAGCATGCTTACCTGTCAAATCTCATCATCCTTAAAGTTTTGGGGTTATTTAGAAGAAGTTTTTTCACACGTTTGACCTGGTTTTTGTCCTTGAATAAGGGTCAAGGTCATTCAGTTGATAGCCATTCATCCCAGCATGCTACTGGGCAAATATCATAACCCAGTAGTCTTTTCAGTGGTCCATTAAGAAGTCGTTTCAATGTTTTTAAAACATTTGATCCCTGTGACTTTGATTATTGATGAAGGAAATTCACTTGAACAAAATTGATAGCCCTTTATCCCAGCATGTTACTTGCCAAATATCGTCATCCTAGGCTTTTTGGTTTCTCAAAATATATTAAATGTTTGCACAATTTTTTACCCAGCCTTTGTCCCTGAATAAAAGTGAAGGTCATTAGTTTGAACCAACATGACAGCCTTTATACCAGCATCCTTCTTGCCAAATATCATCACACTAAGTTTTTTTGTTATTCAGAAGAAGTAATTGAACTGTTTCAACACGATCGCTCTGTGTGATCTTGAATATGGGTAAAGGTCATTCTTTTGAACAAACTTGGTAGTCTTTATCCCAGGATGTTACTGGCCAAATATCATCACTCTAGGCCTCATGGTTATCAGCAAAACGTCATTCAAATTAAAAAGTTAATGCAGAACAGACGACTGAAGACGCACCATAGCCTAATTCATCCCTTGGGCCAGGTCACGAGCTAAAAGCGAGATTTTCTCAGGACAATGTCATGCAGTAACAGTGGAATCGTTTCAGTAGTATATCAGATTAAACTTAAACATGTCGGGGTTATCTACTAATGCTCTTCACACAATGTTGTTGTTTTCAGGTTGATCTGAAATCCAATATGGCCATAATGACTGCCATTAGGAAAAGATAGAGTGGAAACTCCAGTTTTAATGGGTCTGATTGAAACTTGGTAGAAATGATCCACTGAAAGTCTAAACAATATTTTGAAGCAGGAAAGTAAAAAGCAGCCAAACATTTATGATTGATATTTGACCTAGCAAGTACCAAACCCTTAAAAGTGCCGTGACAATATCATAGAGACTGATCCTAGCCCTGTACGCAGTCCAAGTAACTTTGGAACGATGAAGTTTCTGGTGTTGACATTTTGTTTTCTAATCTTTTACAGGACTATGATTGATGGGGAGGACAGCAGTAATATTGAGGTTTGCTGTTAATAAGCTGGACAGTTCGACACCAGTGGCCTAAGACCAACAATAAATAAGCTGGACAGTCCGACACCACTGGCCTAAGACCCACAACAAATAAGCTGAACAGTCCGACACCAGTGGCCTAAGACCCACAATAAATAAGCTGGACATTCCGACACTAGTGGCCTAAGACCAACAATAAATAAGCTGGACAGTCCGACACCAGTGGCCTAAGACCCACAATAAATAAGCTGAACAGTCCGACACCAGTGGCCTAAGACCCAATATAAATAGGCAGGACAGTCCGACACCAGTGGACCAAGGTAAAATATACTGGGCAGTAGAGGACAGAGGCTATTTATAAACCGGAGAGCGATGGAACTGTCAACAATGGAGATGTGACAGTAATACATCACTTTTATACTGCACCAAACTATTTTTACCTACATTAAACATACTTCTACACAAATAAATATCTCCAAGCAGCATTTTAATATTTTCTAGTAAACGCGTCACGGTGAGAGAATAATCTTATCTCCAAACAGCCTAGAGATATATAACAAGATTTGTGTACACCTGTACATAGTGTGGACTGTCCTATACACAGAAAAGTGCCTTTTTTCACCCAACTCTTACTTTTGTACTGGTTATATATGGAAAGCTCAACAAATACCAAGGACATTGTGGCCGGCTGCTTTCCTGTGAACAACTAGACAACACAAGGTCAATAGAGATTCTGTATTACAGTGTTTAGAAGGTGTGACTGCCTCACCAGAACGAAAACCAGATACAGCCAAATTACACGGCCTCTTCAATCTGTGCCTTCTCACTGGAACAAGAATTACCATTATTATATCACAGGTTTTTGTGGATCTTTGTGATGATCTACAATTCTCAGGGATTATCTATATCTATAGGTACCTACACAACAGGTGCATTGATAATCCGCCTGTGGATAATCCATCGCAAAACAGACTCTTATGTGAGTAAGACCGATTTAATCTAATAAATCAACACATTTTAATCGGATCAATAATTGGCGATTTTCACACCTCTAACTTGGATTAGTCCACATAAATACAGATCCGGTAATCCTAAATGTGGTGAGTGTACTTCTCAATGCAGACTTTTATAACTATCCTCCCTCATCTGTGATTGAACTCTCTTTACATCAGGAAGTTATGACATTTGTCTGATACAAATGGACAGTACGTCATGTTCCTATTCTACGGTTAGAAATAATTAATGTCATGTGTTTATGATATAGCTGGAGAATATGACTTCCATCTATAAAATAGGAGGATGATACGTCACATTTCTATAACTCAGTGAGAGAATACAACACATGTTTAAACTAAGGTTGGAAATTGTTAGGCTTTCACTTACTGTAATACAGTCGGAAATTACATGTTTCCGTAACATAAGACTCGATATTATGTAATGTTTATGTAACGCAACTGGAGATTACGTCAAGTTTTCGTAATACAACTGGAGATAACGTCATGTTTTCGCAATACACCTGAAGATTATGTCATGTTTTCGTAATACAACTGGAGATTATGTCATGTTTTCGTAATACAACTGGAGATTACGTCATGTTTTCGTAATACAGCCGGATATTGCAGTCTTTTTTAAATAAAGCTGGATATTATGTTGTGTCTATGATACAACTGGATTCTAATTCATGATTCCACCGTGTTTCTTTAAAACAGCCAGATTGCGTCGTGTTTCTCTAATACAGCCAGCTTACGTTGTGTTCCTATAAAACAGCCAGATTACGTTGTGTTTCTCTAATACAGCCAGATTACGTTGTGTTTCTATAATACAGCCAGATTACGTTGTGTTTCTTTAAAACAGCCAGATTGCGTCGTGCTTCTCTAATACAGCCAGCTTACGTTGTGTTTCTATATTACAGCCAGATTACGTCGTGTTTCTATAACACAGCTGGAGTTTACTTGATACATCCATAATTCACAATAAAGGATTCTAACATGTTGATATAATCGTGTAAACAACAGATGTACAGGTGTGGTCTGTGTTTACTAGTGTGTCACGCAATGTAACTGTTTAGAAGACAATTAATGACAAGTAGAATGGATCTTCATTTAACAGCTTGGCTCACATGATAATTCAATTGATTTTCTACTTAGTTCTAGATGCTTAAACAAAGTACTTCTGCTGACAGTACAACCCTAATAAGCCAAAGGATGAAGATCACGACGCCAGAGTCACGTGCAAAGTAGTTACAACAAAATCAGGCAAAGATGGTGATCATGAATGTAACGGCTACACCCTTGGTAACTTTTTTCAACACCACTGATCCAAGTTTATTAACACAATTCTCTAATGTTATAAATGCTACTTCGTGGACAAACTTTAAGCCTCAAACCTTACATGAGCGGGCCGAGGTGATCCTCACCCAGCCGGAAACCATTCTAATTTTAGTGTTGAGTTTTTTGGCTCTTTTATTGAATACATTGTCTATCAGTGCCACAGCTAACATCCCCCATGGACTGACCACTCACTCCAAACTCATCATCAGTCTCGCTGTGTCCGACATTCTCGTCACATTCAGCGTCTTTTTTCATGTACTCAACAAAGTCTTTAATTTGGCCAAATTTCCACCAGTGTTGAATCCAGATGAACGTTTAACGTCGTCCTGCATGTTTGCGCTTATCAACGGACTAAACACGATGGCTCATTTGATTTCTCTCCTGAACCTTTTAGCCATGGCCATCGACCATTACATCGGTGTGCTTTGGCCTCTTTACTACCACACGATTCTGAGTCAAATCAAGGGGAACATCATGATCGCGTTGCTGTGGATTCTCGCCTTCATCGGCGGGTTCTGTAACTTCTTGACAGGTGTGAGTTCACACAAAGATTATGTACGCTTCCTCAACTACTGCGAGGTAATCATGTACAACGATTTCCACGGAGAATACCTCATTATGGCCTTCACATTTATCTGCCTCGTGTCCATCTCTTTCATCTACATACGTATCTACTGTGAGGTTAGGACCATCAACAGCAGACTAACGTACCTACAGAAGGACAGCTTCCATAACAACAAGTCCATGATTACCACACTACTCATCATAGGGACCTTCATCCTCTGCTATCTTCCTACGTGCATTTTTCAAATCGCCATGGTGATCCAGATTCACGTAAATCGGGACATGGTACAAAAGTTGTTTTCGACGCTATTACGCGCCAACAAATATCTTTATGCACTGTTATTACTGAACTCTGTGTGTGACCCAATTATTTACGCAGTGCGTCTGCGGGATGTTCAAAAGGGCTACTACCGACTTTTGTCTCGTTGTTTTAAGTGTTACGCCATTAAGATCAAAGAGGAATGGCAGAACTCCTACTTAGATCGTCGAAACACAAGGACAAAATCTTCCATTGTGGAATTGGACGACGGAGACTCGGGAGAAGACTGCGAGCCAATAGATGAGCTTATTACAGACAAAGCGAACAAGGATCACGATATAGAAATGTCCACGATTTCGTCCGGAACAAGGTTCTTGATTAATGGGAAATTCCAAGAGCAAGAACAGATTTCATGACAAAGCGGTAAAATTACATATGATATTAGTGATGAGCTAGTAGTTAATCGGAGTGGCCTATTATGCTAAAGACGTATGGACTTGAATTATCTGGTATTATGGTCGGACTTGGCCCTGACAACATGTTTGGGACATGATGTGTAATATTGACAGTAATATGTGTCTATGACAACTGGTATATGTCAGGGTGATATTTCTGGAATATGTTTGATAATTTCTGATGCTGTAAATATTCTGTAATTAAGTAATGAATAACCAATGTGACAATCAAACAGAGTGCAGAACTTGGTGTGATATTATAGTGTGATATTTGATGCGATAGATATAAACAGTACAACATTATGTAATATCTTGTTATTGTCCGTAGGTTACAAAAAATACGACCCCTTATTTTTGCCGGTTATATGATGAAGTCGTAATGCGACTAAACGTTTACATCAAATGAGAAAAAATCCTGTGACATCAAATCCTATAAATATACATCTCAATTATAAACAAAACTCCACAAAATCATACCAATATCAAAGATTTCATCCATGAAAGTATACAGTAGAACCTAATTATACTGCCACCATTAATCCTGAGAATTTTAGGCATTATAAATGGGCTTGGCAGAAAATTGAGGGAAATGTAAAAATGGAATTTTTAAGACAACAAGAAAAAGTGTCGTTGAAACAAAGTGGTACCACAGAAGATGCATTACATCAAGATTTTACTGTGCCTGAACAGCTGGTTTATGTAACTTCTGGCTCTGTTTTAATGAAAATTGAATTTGTTTGACGTACATTTCGTGAGTCTCACGCTCAAATTCTTAGATATGGCATGCATGTCTTATCAACTAAAAGATTGTTAGCAAATTTCCCAGACCAGTCGTGTTCCTCAATACAGGTAAAACATTGAAATACAACTTCCTGGTATAAATTTTCTTCTTTGTTTGAGAGGTCTGAGCCTAACCAGTACGCAATACTATGTATAACCGATCAAAACATTGTATTATAAAGTACAAAGATATCACCAGGGCTGTTGTAATGAGAATACATCATGTCACATTTGGTATAAATATGTCTAAAATTTACCTCACACGTAAATCTAAAACATTGCTTATCACAACTTATACCTTAAGAGTGAGGCATTCCTGCAATAGTTTCACCTTGTTGTTATCGCATACTAATTAGCAAAGTTATTATATAACCCATGCACAAATTTCATGCATTCACTAGAAATGTGTCTGTTAAAGACATGTATGCCCCTATAACACGTAAGAACTAAATTAGGCAAGGTCACAGAGGCTAAGGTCAAAGGTCAAGGTTACAAAAAGTCATGCAACATGCTGTCCTCGTAGAGGATCATTAGAACGTGAGGTTTACATGACCCTAGTTGCAGTTCCTAACTGACCTAAAACAAAGAAGTTATCCAAAAAGGTCAATGTCAAAGGTCAAGGTCACACACATTTTGTGCAACATGTTCTTCTCATAAAGGCACAAAATCCTGTGAAGTTGCATGACTCTAGCTGCAGAACATAACTGACCTAAATACATAAACTTGGTGGGCTAGATATGCGATATTTAAAGTAACAGTATCATGCCCCGCAGTGCCACTCCATGTTGGGGCATAAAAATGATATGTGTATGGGCAATATGACAGAGAAGCAATAGGCAGACAATTACAGTATATGTATTTAGTAAGTTAGGGTGTATGGGCAATATGACAGAGAAGCAATAGGCAGAAAATTACAGTATATGTATTTAGTATGTTAGGGTGTATGGGCAATATGACAGAGAAGCAATAGGCAGACAATTACAGTATATGTATTTAGTATGTTAGGGTATATGGGCAATATGACAGAGAAGCAATAAATTTTACCTTGACCTTTGACCGACTGACCTTGACTTTAAGTTAGTTGACTCTTTGTCAATTCTGACCAACTTTGCTTCATAAAGTCATAACAAAATGTTCATCAGGGAAAAGATACAAAATTTGACTGTGACCTTTGACCCAGTGACCTTGACCTTTGTTCAATTGACTCCTTGTTTAATTCTGATCAACATTGCTGCATAATGACATAACAAAATGTTCATCAGGGAAACGATACAAAATTTAACCTTCACCTTTGACCCAGTGATCTTTACCTTTTGGTCAATTGACTCCTTGTTTAATTCTGAGCAACATTGCTTCAAAGTGTCATACCAAAATGTTCACCAGTGAAAATATACACAATTTAACCTTGACCTTTGACCCAACGACCTTGACATTTGGTCAAGTTGACTCCTTGTTTAATTCTGATCAACTTTGCTTCATCATGTCATCACAAAATGTTCATCAGTGAAAAGATGCAAAATGTGAAATTGACCTTTGAACCTAATGACCTTGACCTTTGACCTTGACTTTTTACCTCATTGTGTATTTTTGTGAACTGAACAATTTGACCAAGTTTCATATCAATAAATACCAAAGTTATCAGCTAGGAACAAAATGTGTGGATAGACAGACAGACAGACAGACAGAGTGATTACTATAGGGCACCAGTATCTCCGATACGGGGCGCTAATTAAATACAATCAAATAATACAGGCGAAGAGACAACACTTTATCATTCCTAATAGCACACTAACTAGTTTGTTAAAACACATAGGTGGACATATTTATATGTGTAGCAGGAGAAAGAGACAATGTAACGGCCAGACCGGGGACCCTCCCAACTCAAGACGGACGCTCTACCAATTGAGCTACCTGGTCGCCAACAATCGAACCCATGCAGTTTCGCTACATTCCTCTCTCCTTTGACCCTAAAGACACAACTATTTACCACCCAAGTTGGGGTATCCTCTTGCTAAGCGTACTCCCAATGCTTGAAACAAGGGCTGGCAAGCTCACCAATTTTGTTACAGGAGAAAGAGAAAATGTACAAGCCAAACAGGGATTCGAACCCGGGACCCTCCAAACTCTAGACGGATATGCTCTACCATTGAGCTACTTGGTTGCCGACGATCGACCCCATCCAGTTCGGCTCCACATGGAATAAAACACATACATACCTGATATTAATAAGGACTGTTGTATTATTTTTAATTAATACTGATGAAAAGTACTTCAAGATTTTCCCAATAAATCGATTATGGGAAATTGAAATGGATTAATCTGAAGTTGGTCTAAAATCGATCAATTAATTGATTATTCGTCCCAATACTAGACAATCCTACTATCATAGCGATGCGTTTCAGGAATGTTTATATCATTCTTATCATTACTGAAAACAACAGTACCGTATTTACTGTAATCAGCACCCTGGGCTCGGGAAAAATGGTCTGAAAATAAATCATAGCTTCTGGCAGTTGTTGGTTAAGTTAAGGCAAAAGAACTGTCAGACACACTCCAGGACGAATTCCAAAACTGCTTTTTTTATTTTTTAAAAATAATACTGGGGAATAGTCCTGTCAGATTGAGAGACTGTAGTGTGTATATACAAAGGTAGTACTATATTTTGTTAACTAGAGAGGGCACGAATGGAGGCTGTTTGGGAAGGGGTAGTCACTTAAGGTACAGGGTAGTCCACTGTTATAATCATGATGAAGAGTTCCATTTAAAACCTTTGTAGATTCGGAGTCTTCTTCCTTTTATATAGAAGATGAAGCAACCAAGAGGAGTTTTTCTTCCTTATAGAGTAATTCCTCCTGTCAATTTTTCATGGGCTTTGCTTCCCATAAACCAAACACTATTTCGGAAACATTTACAGTTGTAATTCCTTCATAGCAACATTGATAAAGCATAGACATTGTAATGAAAAGGTCCCGAATATGACCCCAGATGTTTTTGTGTTTTCATTTTTCTATTTCTTTTCAAACATTCAAATTTAGAACATCTATAATTCTGTAAAATGCATTCAATTGGCAACATGTGATTTCTATGGAAAACTTCTTTTTAAATGAGCTTTCACATTAGTGACAATGATAATATTACAGTTTAAATTTCCTTTAACTTAAATAACTCAAGAAGTGCTTAAAATGGCGAGGGGTGATAATTACGACAAGTATGGTACATGTACTGGCACTATGTTTAGTCATGTGTTGACCTTTATAATTGTGGTCCAGCAGTGTTCAGATAAATGGAAAAGATGAAGATGAACTTATACTGAATATTGTATCAATTCACAATTAGATATTTATTATGAAAACATTGTTGGTTAATGAGTCAATATTTCTGCAAGGTTTCTGAGCAGTAAAGGACGTCAGCTCTAGACCATAAGGATCTTTCAAAGAAGCCATTTCAAGTGATTCAGTTCCAATGATTGATCCTAAGGAGCAACAGTAATCTATCTTCTTCATCTGTCGTGCATCCTCTGTGAACAACTACAAAAGTTCAATGTCTTATTAAATGATTCTAATCTTGGTACAAACATTCTCCTGCTGTCCTGCAAATCTGCGGTCGGATCTGGAAATTTCTGTTTGTATCTGGTCATGCTCTTGAGTATTGTTGAAAACAAAAGCCCAATGGGCCTGTATTGCTCACTCAGGTTGTTCAATGCTAATTCACAAACACATCTCCCATCAGTGACCTTTCAAAGGGGGTCAAAATCAAATATTTAAAAAACAAGAGATCCCAGAGGGATCTTGACGCCCACCACTGTACAATCTTCATTAGTTCTTTAATTGTCAGTTTGATGTCTTCTTTCCTCTAATCTGTTTGATCGAGTCATGTTAACAGTAAATGCACCTTGAGGTAACTTTTGATCTAAACTAAATACTGATGTGTATGAAAGCCAACCTTCAAAGTGAATTTGTCATTTCACATATTTACTAGTACAGTACTTAATGTGAAAGAAATAGAATCAATCATTGCAATATGAGAAAGATCTGTTTAGTTCTTCCTTTAGTCATTTTGTTTTTATGATCAGTCTCAAAATATAACATGCACAACAAGGGAAAAATCTGAGATTCTCAAAATTTGAGGAAGATCCCTCAAGTTATTCCTGAGAAATAGTACTAACAAACCTTCAATGTCAAAAATCATAGATGGCTGTCGGTAGGCCATTTTGTTTAACTGATCAGTTTTAAAAGTAAACATGAACATTAAAGGATAGTGGGAAACCTGCATTGGCTGGGCCCCAATTCTTTTGGGACTGGAGAGTAATATATTTGAAGCACTGGCCCAAATAACATATTGGTGGCCCAAATAATTTTGGGAAGAAATATTTCCACAGCATTTAACACAATGCTTCAGTACATTTAAATTACATATAACATGACAATGTTTGTAATATGTAAAACAGAATAAAACATTATACTTTTTATTCTTCAACCCTAGTTATAACCTGACATGATTCACTCCATTCAGGTCTTC